TTTGGAAAGGATGTTTTTRTGTTGTTTCTCAGTCAGCTCTCACAGTACTGCCTGAGCGCAATATGTGGTTGCTCTCCTGGCTTGCCATACAATTCCTTATGCCATAGATTGCAAAGTTCACTTCTCTACTTATTTCAAAGCAATATTTTCCTGGCAAGTGAGTGCTGATGATCTTAGCGAAGGCTTTGCCTCTGAGATGAGAAGCAAAGCCTTCTTATCTGCTCTTATTTAACAAGGTCGCTGATTTCCATAGGAGGGTCAGAAAGACCCTATTTTTGCAGGTAGGCTATCTGTAAAAAGCAAAGCAGAAGTGTGGTTCAGAGATAGTGGTGGTCATATGTATTTGCAGGTAAGGGAAGAAGAATTTTACTTTAGATTCTTTCTATCTCATGTGTTAGAATCACTCCCATTTTATCCTAGTTTACTTAGGGCCATTCTGGGATTTAATTTGGGAGTCTGGGTTCCTGAGGATCTCTCTGCTTGGAACAGGGCTTTTATAGAGACACGGTTATCTGAGATGTAGGCTATGTGTGTGGSGGAAAAAAACTGCAAAAATTAAAACAGAAGAAAATAAACATAAAAACATGTGAAAAAGAGGTGAGAAATGATGGCGAGAAGTCAGATGGACACACCAGGGTGAAGGAATGAAGCATACAGAAAACATACCATGTCTCAGCTGGACTAGTAGTTTTTCAAGGAGGGTGCTGAGCTGTCCAATCATACAGTATTTTGATTTAAAAGCCCACTCCTTTTTTTTTCCCTCTGTTTTGGGAAATGAGAAAAAAATATAAAAACAAGTTATTAATAAAACATCTATTATGCTCATGGGACAGAGGTCTTTCCGCATTGTTTAGATGGCATGTTTATTGTTGACGTCTCTCTTTTCTCTGAGCATGCACAGAACCCTGAAATCCTTTTACATTTTTAATAAGATTATTCCTTTTTTTTCAATCTAGTGCAAGAAAACCACATCTGCAATATGCATAATACTCTAAAAACTGCAGCATCAGAGGGAAAACACTGCCAGTGTTTTCAGCTATCTGCACTTCAAAGAGACATGACTTGAAAAAGAATAGTACTAGAGTTCTCGAGAAGGTGCTTGTATTTTGTGTCTCAGGGCAAGTTTGCTCAAGGTAGCTGCCTTATCTTTCAGCTTTCACTCTCTAGGTAAAGCATGTCTTAAGCACAAAGAGAAACGTGGGTTTATTTCCAGCAGACAATACCTAGGAAATCTGAAATAACTGATGTTATTGCACTGCTTTGTCAGAATCACAATTGTCCTATTGAGTGGGGTGATCATCAGCTCTGTATTTCTGTAGAGCTGAAGGGTCTGGGTCTGTGCTATGTCCGTGAAATTGTGTTGGACTTGAGGCTAGAAGGGGCTGGGAATATGAAAAGAAGTGTCTGTGAAGCATTACCCACGTGTTTTGTCTTCTGTCTCCAGCAATGTAAGCACTGAGTGGGAGCATAGCCCTATAGAGAGGGCTATTGCAATGGGCAACATGAGAGCGTGGTGGTTGGTCCCAGGTCCATATCCCTGCTCTGACGTAGACTGCGTCTATCATTTCAAGTCATGAAATGGCAAAACTAGTCCTTCTCACTGTTTTTTTTTTGGGTAAATTGGTATGTCAAAGACTATAAAGATCTGTGAAAAGAAGGTGAGAGTGGCTAGATAGCTATCCTAAACCTTTCATCTCTTCTCCAGAACAATCTCTTCTTCACAGACTGAGTGCTTACTTTATATCCTAGTAAACCTTTAACAATCTAGGACTTGCTGACCATGGCTGTGGGGCTAAAGGAGTAAGTACTGGGAATTAAAGCACTAGGGATGAAGTTACTGATGCAAGGCAAGATGCGTGTGAAGGGGAATCCAGTAGCACCGCAATGTTGTGTATGTGGTCCTGAAAGAGCAGAAAGAGCACTTATGTCCCCAAATTCTCCTGCGAATGGGGCCCACGGGATGCATTAGTGGCATTYCAGCTCTTCTGTGCAGAGCAGCAATCAGATGCAAGCAGGGGATTTGATTCCTTTAAGAGCAGAAAAGCGATCGATCATGAAAATATTAAGGCTCCTTTCACCTTGAACACCTAGAGTTCTGTTTCAAAGAACAGGACAGATACAGAAAGCACCCAGTGAAAGGCAGAGTAAGTTATAAGAGGTGTGGCAGGCCTTCCTTGCGAGGGAAGCTTAAATTGATTAAGAGACAARTAAGAGGTGATATGTTGGCGGTATATAGGATAGTGAATTGCCCGAAGAGGTCACTCAGATGATCCTATTTAGCTTTTCCCATAAATCAAGAACAAGTGGAGTGCTATACAATAATGGTAAAAGCTAATGAATTTACAAGTGATACTAGTGAAGTATTTTCTTACATGGTGCATAATTAACCTGGGAAATTCATCAGATACCAYTAAGACAAAGAATCTACTGGTATTAAAAATGAATAGGCGACAGAAATTGCACGAACATAGGAACGTATACAGGATATTCAGATATTTACTTAAAACCATTTGCTGCTTGAGGCTGCAAAAAAACACCATTCCCAGTGGGAAAGTTAGACATAATGGTTGGATTTCTTGTGTCTTTTTTTTTCCTGTAGCAGGTAGGTTGGGGGCTGAGTCATGGATTAGTTGAACTGCCCTCAGTTCCATCATTGCAATTTCCAAAGCACAACTACATCTACCAAAAACTCAATGAGGAAGCATGCAAGAAGCTTTTGAACTTCTCCAAAAGTTTCTTAGAACCAATATGGGTATCTCTAGCAGGGAGTTAATGACTTACTTCATCTTGCAGGCATGTGACCATGAAATTTGTGTGTAGGGATCAGCATAGCAACTGTGTTTTGAAACAGGAGAACAAGAGTAGAGMGCAAGTTATGAGTTGGCTGTTTATGAACTGAGATGTGCTCTAAAGCGACTCTCAAACGGTGGTGTTTGCTGCGTAATTAATTGCTGTGTGTTCTGAATGCATTGAGGTTTATGTCCTCCCTTAAATGCATTAAGCAGAACCACCAGCTTCTYCAGCAGGCCTAGCTTGTTGTCCTGGGTTTTGCAGTGCACGCATAGCTTTTTGGGACGAGTGGGCAGGATGCTTTGGTGAGGTGGTGAGCAGACTGGTGAAGCCTTCCTCATAGAGACTTCGTCTTTCTGTGTTGCTCTATTTTCTTTGGGAAGCTTTTCTGTCTTTGGGGGACACAAGAAAACCTTGTGTCCCCCAAATTTTGCCTATTATCATTATTATTTTTATACCAACCAAACCAGTTGATCTAATGAAAGATGTGGCTTCATTTCATATGTCTCGTCTTGCTTATAAACACACAAAAGAGGAATCACAATGCTCCATAAGAAAGCTTAAAAGAAGATAAATTAATTAATAATTCTTTCTTCTGAGTGCAACAGGATCCAAGTAACAAGTGAACTTTTCATTTCCGATAATAGCAGAAATTATTTCAATGGCATGATTGTGAGCACCCGTGGGGCCATAATGTGAATGGTCTTTATTAAGAAATAGACTGAACTTCTGACTATCTTTCTTCCAGTCATTTCCACAGACTATAAACAGCGCCTGGTTTGTTGCTATTAAAAGAGTCTAAAGACTGGGATGCTGGAAAACATTGCTGTTTAAGTACTCATGGTTTTACATTAACACGAAAAACATTTTGGTGAGTTCAATGCCTGTGGCACAGGGGGAAGCAGGTTTGGATGCAGGTTAGGAAGTAGGTAGAAGATGTTTTTGGTTTTGTGCTTTTGATATTAATTGCAGGTTACTGCCCCTCTTCTTGCTTGATTTTTGGCCATGCTTGAGATCAGAAGACATCTTGGGACCACTGGGCTCACATTGGTTTCAGGTTCACTGTTATGTATTTGTGTCCTCCAAGAACATGCAGTGGAAAGAGTTTTCCTGCACAGCATCTCGGAAAATGATGCTAAGTGAAAACTGGAGCAATTTGTGATCTGTGGAGGTGATATTGAAGACATATCTCTGGTGCACAGCAGACCTACGCATTAATCCTGTGTTTTGGGGTCTTTAATTACTTTAAATATTTGCTTCTAGATCTGTGTTTCACACATCTTATTTACATGGTTTATTTTTCATTTTATGAACAAATCGATAACCAGACAGACTCTTTACCACACTGGATTAGTTTTATTTATTCTCTTTGAACTTGATTAAAAAGCTGTCAAACATAAGTCTACATTTTATCAGCAGAATACTTTTACAAAACAGGGTAGAAGATGTGTATAGCTGGAAACATACATTTCAAAATGAAACAATATTTGATATATTCTAGACAGTTACCCTTTTGTTTATCCATGACAACTGAAACTAACCATCAAATGCATAAATTGATTCAAGTCTAGCCAAGTAATCCTAAGGGCATATGAAAAGGCTTTTTTTTTAAAGTTCTTTCTAGATGAATTTAATGTAGTTCACCAACAAAGCATCCTCAGGAGCACAATACAAATGCTACAGAACACGAGATAGCTTGGGAAAGCAGGCAGATGTACAGTGTGAGGAGGAATCAAAATGGATGTTACATTTAAAATGAGCAGTCTTGCAATGTCTTCATCTCAGGCACTGTATTCAAGTAAAAATGCCAAAATTCTAATTTTGTTTGTAATTTTAAGGCATTACTCTGCAAATAGATAGACTTWAAAAAAAATCATTTAGAAGTATTAAATGTAATTTTTTTGGAACTCTTAAGATGGAGGAATTGGTTCTTCATTGTGTATTTAACTGCCAATACATATCAAAGAGAACAGGTAATTCTTAGTCAAATTAACTACAAATGATGCAATATCTCTGTTTTAATTCACAGCTTTTATTATATATTTTAATCCCCTTTCCACAAATCCCCTCAGTTCCTATTTGTCTTTCTGTGCCATTGCATATGTTAGTAAACAGCATTTCCTATGGTCTTTGGCCATATGCTGTATGCTCAGCTTGAAAAAAACTGACACTTGGAGTGTTAGCATAATGAAACTCTCAAAGGGTTAATGCAGAATACATATAGGCAAATGTTGACAATATTTTTTATTCCAATGTTTGAAAATTAAACACAAAATCATCATTAAGTTTTCACAAAACGAGGCATCTGTCACTTGAAAGAAAAAGAAATATTTCAGAAATATGTTTACAGAAATGTAAAAATATTAGACATCAAGACAGATGTGAACRTTTTCAATAACAGGCCCTGTCTGTCAGTCTTCCTCAGAGCCGAAGATCTTGCTGTACTCGCTCAACATAAGTTCAACTATCTGATTTTGGTACAGCATGTGGACTGCCATGTTCCCTGTCTCCTTTTCAGGTCTAAGGAGTGTTGGTCCAAACACAATTCCTAAGCTCTGTGTTGACATAAGATTCACGGATTCCTTGGCTGCTATCCTGTTGACGAAAGGAAAGAATTGGTTAAAAAAAAAAAAGAAAAAAGAAAAAAGAAAGACGGATGTCAAAGGAGTCACTGGTGCATTTGAAGTGCAGGAGAGACATATTCTGCTGTTTTCTTTAACAGTGATGTTTAGTTGGTTAAGTTATGAAAAAGAAAGAAAAGAAGGAAAGAAGGCATGACTTCTTCCAACATGATGGACAATGGATGAAAATTCAGCTGCCGACAGCAAGACATGAACCAGAGTGAGCTCCACAGTTGGACTTTTGGGTTTTGCATATTGGGCGGCCACACGCTATTACTTGCTCTAAGTAATACTTGTTCATGGAAATATTTTCTGAGCTTGTACAGTTAGATCTTGAAAATGATATTTGCCTTTCATGGTGAGAGAATCGAATAATTTTGGTGCCACCAGCTTTGGTGGCTCCTGGGAGAAGCCTTCCTGCTTCTCCTAGCATGGTCTCCCCTGACTGAAACAGTCCAAAAAGCAAAAGGGCCCTTTAATAAAAAGCTCGTATGAAGCACGTTTCTTCTGCTAACTGAAATCCAATAAAGATAGTGTACTCTGAAATGGGTTGTGAAATTTATATAAGTGAAGAATTTTGCATGCTTTATCCTGATTCAAATTTTCTTAAAAGTTTCTTAGACCATATATCTTAAATGGATTGATTTGGAAAATAACTGTAGGGACTAAAATCTGTGATGCCTTCATTTTCCATGAGATTATGAGAGGGACATTATTGTTGTTAAAGGTTGAGCTTGTGTACCTATTAAGAATTAATATTCTAGTAGAACAGCCACTAATAACTGAGAAGTCTGATCTGAGAAAAATGCAGGTTTAATGGATGTAGTTTAGGTAGACAGTTTTGCCTAAATCTCTGCAGTGGTAAGTATAAACTAGACAGAAATCCATTCCCTTCTGCTCTCCAGAATACATAAAACACTGTAGGCCGGAGAAACTAATAAACAGAGATATTTATTTTATAGACAAGTTACATGGTGCTACCAAGGCACTCAAATCAAATGTAACTTTAATATGTAAATGTTTTGATTTATGGATGTTTTCTTAACCTCTTAGTTTTAGACTTGAATATTGTAAGGTAAGTTCTGTACATGCTTTTTTACCCCCTTACTCCCTGTTTATCAATCTCATAAGCCCATAAAAAATCCAGGTGCAGTTTAAAGCATCCTATAACTATCTCTGCTTTCCTATACCTGTTGCTGAGGTCACAGCAARCTGCCCTGCAAGGGACAGAAATTTCATAAGGGATCTTGGGTTCAATTGCTTAAAACTGAGATGGTTTCCCTCCTTTTGCTGGGGGGTCACGCAGCAAAGAGTGGCTTCTGATGGACTCCTGCCAATCTTGCCATTTGCCATATTCCTTCAACAAAAATACCGTTTCTTCTTTGCGTATAAATAGGAGGCTTTGCYGCAGTTCTGCTCCTACCCGTGGTGTCCATTGCGCAGCACACTCTCCATATGGCACTGATCAGCTTGGCTTAATTATTAGTTTCTTAAAATACAGCGTCTTTATTACAAATTAAAAAATAATTATCTTTCCTCCGCGGCAATATTAACATACCGTGGCTTATCTTAGGAGTTCAGAAAGTCGATAAAAGTTAGTGGTTTTCCTGCCAAGTAACTGCATGAGCGTGTGATGGGCGTCGCACATCTTTAGCAGTTAAAAGCGTTTTGTCATGAGAGTGCAAAATGCCACTTTTGGAGGAGCCTCCAAGGGCTCTACATCTAATGCAATAATTCATTACTGCAGTGATAAAATCTCATTTGAATCCTTGAGGTTTTTTTTTACATTCAGGCATCTGTATTTTCTTTGGTGACCATAATAATAAACTACGAGCCAAGCCAACAGGATTACTTTTCAGGAAAGTCTGAGTAATTAAATAGCCATAGTAAAATACATAATAAAATACTACAGAGAAAGAAGGAAGGAATTCTTATATGAAGGGAAATTTTAAGTATTACTTAATTCAGTCTGAAGAAAATAATTACCACTTTGGGAATGTGTACCTTTTTAAAGGGCAAATATTTACCAGTGAAATTCTTTAATTGATTTTTTTTTTCATCTGTCCACAAAAAAAAAAAAAAAAAAGGTCAAAAACAACTATATACAATATAAATTATTACTGTAGCTCCTAAAGGAAATCTGTTTGTTCAAAGAGAAAATCCCTACTAAATGGGGAAGCATTCTTTTTTTGGCAAGAGGAGAAAAAGTGATATACAGTTTATAGCATAAAAAGCAAAAGGAAATGCCAGAGCTACTTTTTGTCAAGCTCAAATAAAAGGAGCAATGATCCATCAATTTAAGATTATTTTAGAAACCATCTATAATCCAGCACTGCAGATGTTGGAATCTGGTCAAGAAATTCTTGAGCCTTGTGCCGTGCAAGGGTCTTTCTCCCCACAAAAGTGAGCTGAATTGCTAACTAAAGGATTGTTCAAGTTCCTTAAGGTTACAAGTTAGGAGATAGGCAGAAAAGAGAGATCTAATTATTAATAGTAATGAAATGAATGATGTTGTAAAACAGCAAAAGTGCCTGATAGGAGGGCTYTGGTGTCAATGGCAGATATATAAGCAAAAATACTTTGAATTTATGCTTTGGCTGTTACCAAGGCAACTGCAAGCTGGAAAGCAAGTAGCTGAGCATAGGGCAACCACACAGCAAAGAGGGTCGCTGTATGGTGAGTTTGGCTCCCCATTTCTACTTAAAACCCCATTTTCAAACTTCCTAAATAAAACTACAATCATTTGTGGCATTTGGAAGCCATGCTGGTCTGCAGTCACAGGATGTATTAGGAAATGTTCTTCGTTTGTTTCTACTCTACGTGAGCTACCAAGGAGAAGAAAGTGTGTTGGTGGTGATGCTGGTTCTCACCATTTTCAAGTTCCTGCCACGTGGAAAATACTAGTGAGATAAACCAGTGTATTTAGGGAGAAAAAGCCCTTTTGAAAGGGCTGGTTAAAGAAAATATTGTGCATAGAGCTGTAGGTGTGCAAGATGCTGGTGAGGTGAGAATGCACAATATTTTGTCTAACCAGGGTATGGAAACCAAGACCCCAAAAGAGGCCAAGAGGTCTAAAGATGTATGGGAATAAAGAAAACTCCCAAGAAAAGAGAATAAAGAGCCATATGTATCAGTAACACATCCTCTTGGCTTAACAACTAACCCTACAGCACTGGGAAGTGGCTTCTCCCCATGCATCTTGTTTCACGACTATCCATTTTGGCAGATTTGTGCCCTTCCTGGAAAATGGCACCAATGGCTGGGCACAGATCTGCTCATCCAGATGGATGCTCGGGCTGCAGCGATATCTAAGTTCCTATAACCTAGCTTAATGGGTCAACATCTGCACCTTCCATTGATTCGCTCTGCCAATAATTATCCTCAAATTAGCTAATATCTGTTTCCTATACACAGTCAGGCATATGCAAATGTGGTGTTTTAGCTTAAGAGCASGGTTCAGCTGCCTTTGCTGCTGCCTTTAGTCTCCTTAAATGCAGAACTATCAACAGACCTGTTCACTGCACAGTTACAGGATGGGTTTAATGTTTTTGGTTTTCTGACTTTGATACTTCCAGCCAATGTGAACTCGCTAACATTTGACTGTGGGGATGAAAAACGCTCAGMTCAAAACCCTACACTCCTTTCCAAAAGCTGATTTACAGGAGTTTAAAAAAATAAAAGAAAAAAAAAAAAAGAAAAAGAAAGTATTAGATACTTTGCTTTAGTGACAAGACATTTGAGGAGAAATCATCCAAGCTTGAAATAAAATCTTTATTGAAAGCAATTCTGCATCCGTGCCAGTGAGCTCCATCGCGCGATCAGAGCAGATGTCCCAGGGGAAAACCCCGCGCCGCCGCCAGGGTTGATTACTTGGACCTCCTGTCAGTTCCTAACTCATTGACAATGGCTGAGACATTCGCCACAACTTTGTTTCCTTTATTTGGAAGTAAAGTTAATATACTTACCTTAACTGTGCCAAATGTACTGGAAAATAACCTGATAATAAAACGTACCATCCTACGAAGTGATAATGTCTGCGTGTATAAGCACATTTTGGCAGGGCTCTTACAGACTAGTTTTTCAGCACTAGGAAGGGAGCCCAAGTGCAAAACGATGCACAGATAAACTATCAGGTTTCTTCTGAACGTATTTCCTTTTCATTTGAGGCCAGTTATATCCTTTTCTGAGATACAGCAGATTGCGGTAACATCATTTCTAATGTAAACTCACTCCACTCACTCCAGTTCAGCTAAGTAGCCTTTTTTTTTTTTTTTCTTTTTCTAATGAAGACCTAAATGGCTTTTGGTACTAAAAGAATAACTTGAACTACAAAGTCTGGCTTTGAGAACACCCGCCACACGGAGATGCAGCACAAGGCCAGGGCACTATTTAACTCCCTCCTCAGAGCACCACCAAATCCATCATCAGTGGTACCCGAGCCTGATACCGCAAGGTCTATGTCAACTAACTATTCAATCCATTGCACTGCAAGACGGACAAATTTARAATTTAGTAGGGAATTGTGATTCTTGATATGTTATGAATGCAAGCTAAGCTTCATTATTATTTATGTACTCACTTTGTGGGTGATGAAGCCAAGCAATTGCAAACATTATCAGTCAAGACCCTGTCCTGCTGGTGAAACCCAAACAGCAAACTCTGTGCATGAGGCTCTGTGCAGATGTCGCAGCTGCGACTGGTGGTTTGTGCTTATGATGGCAGTCCAAAATACTATGACATAGGCCCTTTCTGAAAAGCACCRTGTGGTTTGTTCTGCAATGAATATATATAATTCAGTGGACACAGGAAATATCCAAAAATGATTAATACCGCTTAAAGCTACTTCCTTTTGCCAAGGTAAAATATTAGGGCGCTTTACATTCCGGTTTAAATTCCAAGTGTTGAATTCAAAACAATAGTTATCTGAGACTGGTAACAGAGAAATCAGGTCGTGGTGTATGATATGTTAAGAGA